TTGTCTTGAGATGTGCTAAGAAATACTCTTTTTCATTCAAAGACCTGGAAAGGAAAGGTATCATTTTATTTTGTATTACTTGAAGAGTAATTGCTCCAAGTCTGTCAGTAATGTCTGCTAAATTATTTAATAGAACTGATGCCTACTAATAGTAGAAACTTTGATGTCTAGTTTGAATATGTTGAAATGTCAGCTTTCCAAGGGCCTTGCTGTGCTTGGGATGTCTGTGTGTGGAAACTGTAGTTAGGACTTAAATTGTACCTCTCACGGTCCTACATCTAGCAGATATTTTTTTCCCTCTTCTCTTTAATTAATTAAGGTTCAGAACACCATTTAAAAGACTGCAATTATGGAAACATGATAATTAGCACAGATCTTGTCTTTGGAGCCCAGCAGTACTGTGTTCAGGTCCTGGATCTGCTATTTAACTAGTGGCCCTGGACAAATCACTTTACTTCTTTGAGCCTTGGTTTTCTCATCTGAGAGATAGAGGTAGTACTAACACCAACTCGCAGGATTATTGTGAGACGTGTACGTAAGGCATCAATATGTCCCTGGTAGGCTTTCAATAAATGTTGCTAATTATTCCTTTTTAGTTGATTTCAAATTTTTTCTTGGGGGAAGAAGGTTTCCAAGCAAAGATTCTTTATTTAACTTTAGACAATGTAAGCAGTTTCTTTAAAAGGCTTTACAAGTAAAGCTTCGAGTTTAAGAAAATTGGATTTGTGCTATTCTGTAAAAAAATAAGGCCAGAAAACTTTCAAAATTCAAGACTTTGGTTTTATGATGTCTGTCTGGAAGCTTTGAGGCAAACCACAGGAATGTAAAGTGGTAAAGAAGTCAGCTGTGGTTTTTTTCACTTTTGCACTGAAAAGTATATAATATACTTTTAAAGTAATAATTCCTGAAGACTTTTGTGTCTGCATTTCACAAGGAAGTTAACCTTATTTACAGAAATGTATTTTGTTTGAGAGTTGGTGTTAGGTTTAGCATATCAGAAAGAGTTGTCATTTAATCTGTTGATGGAATTTGTTTTTTCTAACTATGTCAAAGACCCCTGGATGGTGCAAATGATTTGCACTTACCTAACCTAAGGGTTGGCTGTTGGAACCCACCGAGCGGCTCCGTGGATGAAAGGACTGGCAATCTATTAGGATTACAGCTTCCATTAGAATTACATCCAAGAAAACCCTGTGTAGCAGTTCTGCTCTGTAACACGTGGGGTCTCCATGAGTTGGAGTCGACTCAGTGGCAGCAGGTTTTTTAGTTAAGACAGGTTGGCAGTTATTTGAGCTTTTAATATAGTGTGGTAAGTGTGCAAATTATATTAAATCTATACTTTTAAAAAGATTTAATTGTGACCATAGCCTTTGGATATACAGAATAGTTTTTTAAATATTTTATGTACTTAGTTGAGATCATACTGTACCTAAATAATTTTGCATCCTGCTTTTTTTTTTTTAACCTTGTATAGTATTTCAGGAGCCCTGGTGGTGCAGTCATTAAAGCAATCAACTGCCAATTGAAAGGTCCAGTGTTCAAAACCACCCGCTGCTCTGTGGAAGAAAGATTTGGCAGTCCGCTTCCCTAGAGATTTACAGCCTTGGAAACCCTATGGGGAACGCTATGAGTCGGGATCAACTTGACGGCAGTGGGTTTGGTTTGATGGGGTATATTGTATTTGCCATGTCCATGAAAAGAATTATTATAAAACTAAAATTTTGGTGATTCTGTAACCCACTGGATATTTATGCCCATTGGATATTTATGCCCAAATTGCTTATTCCCATGTTGGTGGCATTAAGTGAGCTCACATATCTAAAGCGCTTAGAACAGTGTCTTATACGGAGTATAAACACTATGCTGTGTAAACATTTGATACTGTAATTTTTAAGGCTTTTCTCAGTTACTTAAGTTTTGTCTGCATGTCTAAACAGAGGCTGTATGTATAAAACCAAACGCATTGCCATCAAGTCAATTCTAACTGATAGTGACCCGATAAGACAGTAGAACTGCCCCACAGGGTTTTCAAGGAGCAGCTGGTAGATTTGAACTGCTGACCTTTTGGTTAGCAGGCAAGCTCTTAACCACTGTCACTGGGGCTCCCTCTCACAGTTTAAGAGTCTAGAAGTCCAAATTCGGGCACCAGCTCTAGGGGAAGCCTTTCTCTCTCTATTGGTTCTAGGGAAAGGTCCTTGTCTCCTTTCAACATCTGTGGGCCCAGTGTTCCTTGGAGATCTCCATATGTTTTGACATCAGTCTTCTCCTGGGTCTAGGAGATGCTCAGCGCAAGGACACCAAATCTGAAGGATGCTCTCCACTCCTGGCTCTTCTTGGCAGTAGTGAGATCCCTCCCTGTTCTGCTCATTCTCTCTCCTTTTATCTCTTGTAAGATAAAACGTGTGACTTAAGCAGAGGTGTGACTTAAGTAAGGGTGTTACTTGAGTGATATACCCTCTTGTAAAACTGTGAATCAAGATATACCCCATACTGATCCTGCCTCATTAACATATAGAGGTTAAATCTCACAACATGGATGAATCTGGAGGGCATTATGCTGAGTGAAATAAGTCAATCACAAAAGGACAAATACTGTATGAGACCACTATTATAAAAACACATGAAAATGTTTCCATACAGAAAGAAACAATTTTTGATAGTTACGAGGAAGGGGAGGGGTAGGGAGGGAAAAACACTTGCTAGATAACACATAAGTGGTAACTTTGGTGAAGGATAAGACAGTAGACAATACTGGGGAAGTCAGCACAGCTTGACCAGGGCAGAGTCATAGAAGCTTCACAGACACATCCAGACGCCCTGAAAGACTGAGCTACAGGGCTAAGACCTGGAGACCATGGTCTTGGGGGACATCTAGCTCAACTGGCATGACATAGTCTGTAAAGAAAACATTCTATATCCAGTTATGGTGAGTAGCGACTGAGGTCTTAAAAGCCTGTGAGCGGCCATCTAGGATACATATACTTGTCCTATCCTGGCTGGAGCAAAGGAGAATGAAGAAGACCAAAGACACAAGAGAAGGATTAGTACAAAGGACTAATGGACCACAACCTCCACCAGACTAAACCCAGAGCAACTAGATGGTGCCCAGCTACCACCACTGACAGGGATCACAATAGAGGGTCCCAGACAGAGCAGGAGAAAAATGTAGAACAAAATCCAAATACACACACACAAAAAAAAAGACCAGGCTTGCTGGTCTGACACAGACTGTAGAAACCCCAAGAGTATGGCCACCGGACACCATTTTAACTCAGTACTGAAGTTCCTCCTCAGGGTCACCCTTCAGCCAAAGATTAAACAGGGCAGTAGGGCCAACAGTAACACATGTGAAGGACATGCTTCATAGTTCAGTCATGTGTACAACACTAATGAGCGCACCAGCCCAAAAGCAAAGACAAGAATGCAGGAAGGGACAGCAAAACTGTATGAATGGAAACAAAACCTCAGGTGGAGAAGAGGAGAGTGTTGACACATCGCAGGGTTGGCAACCAATGTCACAAAACCATTTGTATATTAACTGTTTAATGAGAAACTAATTTGCTCTGTAAACTTTCACCTAAATCACAATAAAAAAAAAATAGGGGTTAAGATTTACAGTACATCACAAAATGGAGGATAATTACATCAGATCACAAAATAGAGGACAACCACACAATACTGGAAATCATGTCCTAGCCACGTTGACACGTAGTTTGAGGGGAACATAATTCAGTCCATGCCACTGCACCCTCTGGCCCCCAAAAATTCATGTCCTTGCCACATTTAAAACACATTCAATCTATCATAACCGAAGTCTTAAATCAGCTCCAAGTCCAAAATTTCATCTTCTGAATCATCTAAATCAAACGTGGATGAGACTTTAGGCGTATTCCACCTTGGGGCAAAATGCCTCTTCATCTGTGAACCTATGAAATCTCAACTACAAGTTATCTGTTTGCAAAGTACAATGGTGCTATAGGCACAGGGTAGGCATTTTTGTTACAAATGTGAGAAATTGGAGGGAAAGAAAGAATAACCGACACCAAGCAAGTCCAAAACCCAGTTGGACAATTTACATTAGCTCTCAAGCCTTGAAAATATCCTGTTCTTTGGGACCGTCTGGGCAAGGGCCTCATTCTCCTGACTCTGGGTGTTGGCCATGCTCTCTGGATTCTGGGTGGAGGCCCCTTAGCCTTGGCCTTACCTCCACCTTCCAGGTGCACTGGGACAGCAACTCTGTTCCCTCAGCTTTGGGTGGCCCCATTTTCCTAGCCCATCTGAGTGGCGACCCCACCCCTTTGGCTGCAGAAGACCCTGTTCTTCTGCCCTTTGGTACAGAAGCCCTGCCCCCTCAGCTTTGGGCAGCGGCACCATCCCCTGTCACACCTTAACAGTAGCCCCACGCTCCAGAACCAAGTTGGCAAAGATCTGATTCTTTGAAACCCAGGAGACTGTGGCCCCACACTTTGAGATCCAGAAGACCACAGCCCCACCCTTTGAAATCAAGAAGGCCCTGCTTCCTGTGCTCCTTCCAGCAGTTCCCCTGATCTCCGAGCTGCTCCAGGGATGATCCTTTTCTGTTCTTGGAGGACAACAGATGTAGCTCCTCTGGCCTGTTTCCTGCCTGTAGAATTTGAAGAGGCAGATAGCGTTCTTTCCTTTTGTTCTTTCTGTCTTCTTCAGTCTAAGCTGATGGGTTTTCTGCTTGGTAGTTGGTTAGATCCATCAGTCTCAGTTCAGAAACAATTCAATCCATGACAGTGAAATATCGGTATGTTAACAAACCTATTTGCTTTTTCCAACTCAAGTCGTCCTACTCCCTTTCCCAACTCACTATTTGGAGAGGGATCAGAGGGCAGGGAGGTAGATGTACAGTTTAAGCAGTAAAAACTCCAAAATAAGCTGTATATTTTATCTTTTGTAATTTTTTTTAGTAATTTAATGCAGACTCAAGTTATTCACAAAATTATGTTTCTGTTCTCCTTCATTTCTTCTTTCAGCATAAAGATTCCTATCAGGTGATACTGGATGGTGTGAAAGGTGGTACCAAGGAAAAAAGATTAGCAGCTCAGTTTATTCCAAAATTCTTTAAGCATTTTCCAGAATTGGCTGATTCTGCCATCAATGCACAGTTAGACCTCTGTGAAGATGAAGATGTATCGGTAAGTTTATGATTGAAACTTTTCAACAAGCTTTGAAATGTTTCTCTTAAAATTCCTAGACTTTTTTTCTGTGTAGCTAATGTAGTTAGAATATTGATAATATCAGCGCAGAATAAAGTACCGCCATGTGATCTGGCATAACGTCACACCCAGGTTTATAATCTGCATTTGAGAAAATGTATTAGCTCTTTTGCCCCATTTCAACTGTGAAAAGTGCATAGTTTTGCTTATCTGTTAAAAACAGGTTGTGGCTCAAATCTTTTTCTAGATTGATGTACATTGTTTATATGAAATTAGACTATTGTTCATTTTCAGTCAGTTTGTGTTTGCTTAGTTAATTAAATACTTAATAATGTTACATCAAAAAACATAACTTCACACTTAAATATTTTACATGACAGAAAAAATAATTGGTCTATGTAATAGTTGTATGTGATTGCTAAAATCGGAAGAAATAATTTTTCTTAGACTGTAATTCAGTGGAACAGAATTAACCGTTAACGTATCTGACTGTTAATACAGGTTTCTAAGTATTTTCAACTATTAGCTACTGGTTTTTCAAATGAAATTCATGAACCACCAACATTCCATGCAAGATTTTTGGATATAAACCCTACATATTTTTATGTAAAACTCAATAAACCAAAATCAGTATTCGGAGTTAAGTGCATAGAAGATATTCATAAATGTTACATTAAGTAGTCAGTATGAAAAATTATAAAATAGTTACTAAGCCACAGTAGCTATTCTTAGGGTTTATAGTATGGTATACCCGAAGACAGTAAAGCCTCAACTGTTGTATTTGCCATTGTTTATAATTTCAAATCTGTCTACTCCAGTCTCATATTTAAATTCCCTTTCCACCACATTTTGTTTCAGTCATTCTGTGAAACTTGAATATCAAGTTAGAACAAGTAATTTTTAAAACATCACTAGTAGAAAGCTCATGTTTTATATTTTTGTGACTCATACCTGCCCCTTAGTTATGGTTTCTCTGTAGTTGTAGTTTTCTTAGAAAGTTAGGTTTGTTGTTTTTTAAAATGAAGATAGTATTTGGTTAATTTTTGTTTTAAATCATGCTTAGATTCGACGTCAAGCAATTAAAGAGCTGCCTCAGTTTGCCACTGGAGAGAACCTTCCCCGAGTGGCAGACATACTAACCCAGCTTTTGCAGACAGGTAGGTGGTTTTATTATTACTGCGCCCTTTTATCTAAATGTAAGTTCGCTCTGAAATGTTAAATTCAGAGCAAAATGTTAAATGTTATTTTTAGGGGTTTTTTTGTTTGTTTGTTTGGCTAAAGGGTCTGCCTCTGATAGAGATTAAGATTATTGTCTCCATTCAGTAGTTTGAAGCCTGACTTAACTCCCCAATTATGTAATTCCTAGTGTTGTACTGTTTTGATTTTAATTCTGTTTATAAAGACATAATGACTAGATGCTTTTGGGAATGTTTGATGCATCATGTTCCCCCCTCCCCCACTTTCCTATAGTTTCTTACTTGTACCATCTTAACATAAAGGTTTTCCAAGTGTGCCAGATTCTACCCTTAAAAGGGGGATGTATTTTCTTGGTACTTTAGAGAATTGCTTAGTTACACATCTCCTCTCAATGTAATCTTTTAAGAAACTATGTTGAATCTTTGAAAATGAGGCAGATGATATTTCTAATTTGTTTTATACATTGTGGCACTTTTTCCTCATCCAGATGACTCTGCAGAATTTAATTTAGTGAACAACGCCTTGTTAAGTATATTTAAGATGGATGCAAAAGGTAAGGCCAGTTCTTATTCTGAATTGTGTTTGATGTCTTACAAAGAATTAGGAGTTTGGCATTATTCATTAAGGATAAATCCCAGATTTTAGTAGGTTCTTTTTTATAAAATACAAGTTTGGTGTTCACCCAGAGATCTATTTCATATACATTCTAGGTATTTTGGAAAAAACCTGCTTAGCTCTCAAGATGTGGCTCCAAAAAGCAGCAGAAGTAATTGCGAGAACAGATTAAGCTTTTCCATTAGAAATCTGTTGGAAAACTCCCTTTGCTACTTTAAAGAAATTCTTCCAAAATACCTGGATTTGATTCATTATTAATAATGATAAAAAAGGGAAAGTCACGCTCAAGCTGATTCTGTCTCCATGACCAAAGCATGTGATTTCTATATTATGGTTGGATCTGTATACATTTCAAATTTATTTTTACCAATATTGGTCGTATTCAGATTTATCAACTCATTTGAGAAGAAATACTATAAATTGAGTTAAATCGAAATACTTCCCATTCTGTTACTCTGCATACAATATAGAATTGACTTGCTACACTTAACTTTTTTGTGTCCAGGGACTTTAGGAGGCTTGTTTAGCCAGATACTTCAAGGAGAAGACATTGTTAGAGAACGAGCAATCAAATTCCTTTCTACAAAACTTAAGACTTTACCAGATGAAGTCTTAACGAAAGAAGTAGAGGAGCTTATACTAACTGAATCCAAAAAGGTAAGCTTCAGTCATCATTTGTAATGTCTCTAAAGCAAAAGGACATGTTTAAAATTAGCAGTATTTATCAGTGTTATATGTGCCTTGTGTGTAAATGGCATATCCCATTAGAGCCACTAGAGAGCTTCTTCAGGTTTCTTATATTGTACTTAGCACTGTGGCCACTTGTAATGATGAATGGGTGTGTTAATTTAAAAGGATATAATCACATTTAAATCCTTTGTGTTGTTATCCTCAAAATGTATGCATCCTTCAGAACTCTACAAATCACCTCCTTCAGGAAACTTCTTGATCCCCACTTATATCTTAGGCTATTCTCACATCATACCCATTGCTGTCAAGTCAGTTCAGACTCATAAGCAATCCTATAGGACAGAGTAGAACTGCCCCATAGGGTTTTCAGGGAGCAGCTGGTGGATTGAAACTGCCGACCTTTTGATAAGCAGCGTGAGTTCTTAACCACTGTGCCACCAGGGCTCCTGTTCTCCCATAGTATCCTGGATTATTTCATCATGAAATATATTATCACATTGATTCTACCCCATGAGTCTGTCAGCTCTTCAAGAGCACAAGACCATGCTTATTTGTCTATGCTCCCAGCTTCTGGCATAATTACAGATGCTAAGGTTTCATAAGGTATGTTACAGCTAACTTTTTATGCATAAAGTGGCAAAGTTTGGGAATGATTTACTTTTTTTTAATACATTCAAGAAGATTCAGAGTTTCTTCTGTAATAGCACCATTCACTTGCTTCCTGATAAGATTTCTTCAGTGAGAGAAGGAACAGCTCTTCAGCTGGGAATATCATTATCAGTTCCCTAAAGAGCCTTTTTAGACATCGTTTTCCTAATCCCCGTGAAATTTTAATATCACAGATAGGCTGTATATCTGTTTATGTATTGCTTGTGTATCTGTGCTTTATACATAAACAGAGTAAGATTTTCCAAGAACCAAGTCAGAATCAAGTCAACGGCAGTGGGTTTTTTTGGCGGGAAGAGTGATGATATATTGCCCCAGTTGAAAAATACATGGCTAGTACTCTGAAGGTAAATTGATTGAAGCTAGAAATCGTCCTTTTCATCAGTATGTCAGAAGCATTAATATCAAACTGAGTTTAGTAGCTGAAATAAATTTGCTACAGTTTCAGTATTGATCTTTTTTCCCACTCGGGCACTAAAGATACCATCTATTCTGAATTGTCTCTTTGCAGGTTCTAGAAGATGTGACAGGTGAAGAATTTGTTCTGTTCATGAAGATACTATCTGGGTTAAAAAGCTTACAGACAGTGAGTGGAAGACAGCAACTTGTAGAGTTGGTGGCCGAGCAGGCTGACCTGGAACAGACCTTCAATCCCTCGGATCCCGACTGTGTGGACAGGCTCTTACAATGCACTCGACAGGCGGTGCCCCTCTTCTCTGTAAGCTGCTCGTTTTACATAGCTAGTATTTTTATTACTATATTACCTTAATACATTGGAGTAAATGTTTGCTTTCAGGGGACAAGAGTGAGGGATATGAGAGCCCAAAGCAGCAAGAAATTTCTTTAATGTCTTCCTTAAAGACTTTTTTAAGATGTGGAAATTATGCATTTTTATTTTATATTACCACTCATCTAAAATACTTCGTTTAGTCATTTAACTTTTTTCCTTACATTTTCTAGTAGATTGTTGCCGTAGGAAAATATGCTCTTCATCTCTGGCTTTGTGTTTCTCCTGGCAGTGAATTTTCTGGGATGTGCATACCTCAGTTTGAAAAATAACAGTTTAAAGGACCTAGTCTTTGAGTTGAGAAATTCACAGTCTGAAAATTTAGCACTAAAATTTTCCCACAGTGTGTGCTGAGAACCGCGGAAGCGTTGAAATGTATTTAGTTGAATGATATTCTACTATTTGAGAGTTTGTTTTTTTTTTTTTTTTGACAACTCAATATTCTTTGTATTTTTTTCAGAAAAATGTTCATTCCACAAGGTTTGTGACTTATTTCTGTGAGCAGGTTCTTCCGAACCTAAGTTCCTTGACTACCCCAGTGGAGGGTCTTGATATACAGTTGGAGGTAAGAAAAAAATTCTGCTTTTAGCATTTAGAAGTCATTCTCATATTTTAACACAAATTTAAACCGCTAATTTAAGTCTGATTTCTAAGGGGGATAATTTAAATGCCTGGTAATGGCTAGCCAGTCATCTACTAGCCCAGGATTAAGTGCATAGGAATGATTTATGGATTCAATTTACTGCAGGGGGAAAACACTGCCTGTTGTTTTCATTGTAGTCAGTGGCTACTGTTGTGCCCTTAGTATTTTTAAATAAGGTGTTTAATTTGTGTATAGTTTCCATCTCTATTTATAACTGATGGATCCAGATTTAAACCGGATTAACACAAAATATCCTTTAACCCTTCTCCCCAATAGAATTAACTACTCTCCCTCTTTCGATTCTTAATTGTAATGTACATGTATATTTTTAACAGCATTTACAATACTTTACATTTATATATATTATCTACCTCATTTCACTGATTTATCTCTGAATCTCTAAATCTAGCACAGCACCTGATCCTGAGAGGCATTTAATAATGATTGATGAACAGAAATATGGAAATGTGTGCCATTTCCCTCATAAGTCTTAAGGGAGAGAAAAGAGTCTTGATGTGCACTGACTGTGTAGTTTGCTTCAGATGTCCTGGGCCAGGCTTATCTGACTGGGAATGGGTAAAGCACAGATGAACCTTGAGAATGGTGGCAGTTAACCAATACTTTGAATTAGTATCCAGAGATTAAATTTAATAGCAAATGAGCCCCACCCTAATTGTTTGCTCTCAAGAGTACATTCTAAGTATCTCTTTAATAGTACGAACTGTCTAAATTAGTTTTTATCTTTTTTGCATTGTGTTCAGTACTATCGATGTTAACCTTTAGCAGAAAGTATCATGTGTATTCTTTTGCTTATTGCTTCTTACAGATATTCTGGGAATCATGAGATCTGGGTTTTAGGGTCTGCCCTGCCACACTCATACACTGTGACTTTGCCAAGTCATGTAATCTCCCTGACCTTCATTTTCCTTAACTGTAAAATATAGGCTTGCATCTCTTGAGTTTTTTTTCCAAATCAAACATCATGATTCTGTAAAAGCATAATTAAAAATAAAGTCTTAAACAGTTACCTGGAATCGTTCTAATTTTACAGCCCTGTTCATTCAAACAATAGTAGTATAACCAGCAAATTGTGTGTTTTAGGTACTGAAATTACTGGCGGAGATGAGTTCATTTTGTGGTGACATGGAAAAGCTAGAAACAAATTTAAGGAAATTATTTGATAAGTTATTGGTAAGATCTTTTTTCTTTCCCTGTGGCATAGTCAGTATATAGCTTAAAAGTCTAATAAGATTAATTTGTGGATTATAGAGAGCCAGCTTTTGAAATTTAGAGTAACAGTAATTTTAACAAGTGTTAGCTGCTTAGGCCATAGGCTAACTATCTGAGTAGTATCAGGTTTTGTAGTTTTTTTGTTTTGTTCTTTTTTTTTTTTTTTTAACTTTTCCAAGTAAAGTTAAGTTTTTTTTTTAAATCTGTTTTAATCTTTGGCTTTGGTGTTTCTTCTGTTGATGCTTTGCATACAGTGTAATATAAGATTTATAGTAAGTCTTTTTTATTTTCTTATCAAAATATTTTTATATCTGTATAAAAGAAATGAGCTCTGATTCTTCTGATTGTACTAAATAGTCTCAAAACTGAAATCAGCATCACTAAAATTCTTTACCTTTGCTTTAGGTCCACCGTCCAGGTAGCTTCCCAAGGCCAAGTAGCTTTAGCAATCAGGAAATAAACTCTGCCATTTAAGTCATAATTGAGGAGAAAAGAGGTTGTCTGATAAGATAATTATTAGCATCACTAATGGTTTTCTAGTTTGATGTGAGCGGTTGTAGAAACGACCATGACTGTACATGTTGTGGTAAGCGGTAAGCATTTAGCCTGAATTGATTTCATCCAAATGTATGGTCATTTCAGACCTGTAGTACCTATTGAATGTTATAACACTGATATTGGATACCTTTGACAGTACTTGGAATGCAGATAGAGTCAGTAATAAAACAGTATGGACTAATGTTCAGAAAACATAGTTAGCATGTGTAGTGGTTAAAAGAATCAACTTTTGATATCCAACCTAAATTGAGTGCTGACTCCTCAACTTATTGACTTTGTCACCATTGAGAAGTTACCTGAGCTCTCTGAAACTCAATTCCCTCATCTAAGTGTCTAATAAATATTAGCTACTTTCATTGTCATTAGTAGTAGAAGCAACTGTAACATAGGTGTATATGGACATTTGGCAGGCTAGAACGTTGATCCAATAGGTGAACGAGAAACCTTACTTAAGCTTCTAATCTTAGTGAATTTTAATGCGTAATGTCTTAAAAGCATGCCCTACAATTGAGTATATATTTACAATTAGAGTATTTATAGAAAATCGCAAACATCTGTATATTTTCATATCTTAGGAGTACATGCCTCTCCCCCCAGAAGAAGCGGAAAATGGAGAGAACGCTGGAAATGAAGAACCTAAGCTGCAGTTCAGTTATGTGGAATGTTTATTGTATAGCTTTCACCAGTTGGGTCGAAAACTTCCAGATTTCTTAACAGCGAAACTGAATGCAGAAAAGCTCAAAGATTTCAAAATCAGGTGATGTATAATTCAGGTGCTCCAGTCCTTGGCAAAGATGGTAGCTATCTGGAAGCTTCCTGGGTTTTGTTTCTGTGTTTTTTACAAGAGCTTTCTTCCACCCTACCTTACCCGTAAAAGGGAACTGGAAAACACTATCAGATCTTACTAAGGGTAAGCTCCCAGGAGCTGCACAACTAGGGATCTGGTGGGGAGGGGAGGAACCCAGATTCAGCTCTGTTGTTCAGAGTTGAACGAAGCCTTCCTGCTGGCTATCTCGTGGATCTTCCATTAAAACAATAAAATTGTAGTAGGTGGCTTCTAAGCCAGTGGATGGTGGGGAAGAAACACAGAAAACTAAATCCCAAAGAAAACAGACTCCTAAGAACAAAAAACAAAATGGTAAAATAAATCCTTAATGTATAATCATAATAAATAGTTAATAAATATTAACAAATTAACCCAACAATTAAAAGAACATTATTATAAAATATTATTGTTTAAAAAAGAACATTATTAGATTGACTTTTTTAAAATGTGTCTAGATGCTGCTTATAAGAGGTAGATCTATTAGAGGCAGAAAGAAAGCTTGAAGTCAAATAACGAGAGCTCTAAAATAGCTAAAGTAAAACAAAATTACAAGAAGCAGCTGACACTTAAGATCAAACAGACAAAACTTAGTAAGATACAGAGGACTCTTTGTCTGGTAGGTACAGATAGTATGCTGCACTCCAAAACTAGAGAATATGTGGTAGTCTTTACAAGTACACATGAAACAAAATCAACAATGCATGTAGCTCTCAAAGGAAGGCTTAATACATTTCACAAAATATTTATAACTGAACTACAATGACGATATCACATAGTAAAATTTAAGGGATGTGACTGAAGTAGTACTTTAAAGGCACATAAATAATCTTAAATATCTTGAATTTAAAGATTGAAAATAAATGAGTAAGAAAAGGATCAAAAGAATAAACCTAAAGGACACGGAAGGAAGTGACACAGATGAAATGAAAGATGAATGAAATAGAAACAAAAAAGATGCTGGTTTGAAGAAAAATAGGCAAGAGTGTTCAAGAAAATAAAGTTTGTATAAGATGGGTATAAAGGAATAAACGGTGTTGACTGGGAACAAAAACAGCTATAATTTAAGATACAGCAGAGATTTTTTAAATTGCAAAAACTAGGTAGCTCAGACCAAATTTTTTTTTAACTTAGAAAATTGGAGTAATTTTCTAGGAAGAGGTTTTAAAAAATTGACTCGGGAAAAATACTTTTAAACCTAAAAAAATAAGAACAGTAGCCATTAGAGAAATTTAGTTATTAAAAGTATTTGACACCAGGCCAGATGATGGTTCAACAGAACATTTTTACCAAAGTTTCAAGAGACATACAGAGATTAAGTAACCCCGTTTTATACAAACTGTTTTGCAGGAAAGAAAAAAAAAAATGATAATACCTCATTGAGTTTTGAGAATTAAATGACATAATGCACAGTGCCTGGCACACAGAGGATACTCAGTAGATAGTAGCTGCTTTTGTTACTAATATCTTACAGTGTTACTGGAAGAGCAGCACTGGAGAAATCAATATAAGTTTTCATGAAGATACCTTTGTCTTTCAGTTGAATCATTCAATTGAATCATTAACCACTTTACATCTTAAATTTTGAGATGCTTGCTCCACTCTATCACCTGTCACTACTCTTTGGCAAAGGAGAAACAAGCAAGTTAAGAAATCACTCTTTAACCCGGAAGACATGGCCCCCGGACTGTCTGTTAGCCCAAAACTAAAACCATTTCCGAGGCCAACTCTTCAGACGATTAGACTGGACTATGGGACGTGAAATGATACTCGTGAAGAATGTGCTTCTTAGCTCAAGTAGATACATGAGACTAAACTGGCAGCTCCTGTCCAGAGGCAAGATGAGAAGGCAGAGAGGGTCAGGAGCTGGTTGAATGGACACAGGAAATCCGCAGTGGAAAGGAGGAGTGTGCTGTCACAGTATAGGGAGAGCAACTAGGGTCACATAACAATGTATGTATAAATTTTTGTATCAGAGACTAACTTGAATTATAAACTTTCACTTAAAGTACAACAATAAAAAAAAATCACTAATTTATTGGTAATATAGCCATTTTTCCACCTAGGATCATTTTGCTATAGTAGAAAATCATTGGAGTTGGAAAACAAAGAGATGATGTGCTAATTAAGAATTCTTCATTTAGGCTGCAGTACTTTGCAAGGGGCCTGCAGGTTTATATCAGACAGCTCCGCTTGGCTCTCCAGGGGAAAACAGGAGAGGCCTTAAAGACAGAAGAGGTAAGAGTACTAGCCCACATCTCCTAGGGACATAGCTACTATTTATTATGAGTCTTAAATAGAATAACAATTCAAACTGTCAATTTGTATATTGAAATGTGAGATTTGACTTTACTTGAATAAATTACAAATCTGTGTTGAAGATAATAACATGTTAGATTATATTTAGCTATTTGCAAAGTTATATAGGAAACCTTTTTTTTTTAAAGTTGAAATATCTTTGTTTCCAGTGTTTTTGAACACTGTTTGTTACCAAACTTAGATTATACAAAGCTTTCACTAGTGTCTCAGCAGCACATTTTGTTTAAATACTTGGTTGATGGTTGTGATATGTTTGATTTCATCTTTCTGAAACCCAGATATTAATTGACAGTAGAAAAGAAATTAAACTTCCAATTCTATACCAAATTATAGGTATTTGTCTTGTGATGTTTGGTTTTCCCTGATCTCTACTATTATAATCGATCTTCATCCCAGTGTTAATGGAATATTTTAAGTTTTCATTATGTCTTCCTACAACTTAAACTGGTGTATTTTAAAACTCTTGTGACCTGTCCCTCATCCACTTCGCAGGTAAATTATAGATAATACTTCAATATTCCAACCCGTCAAGGGAATATAAAGATTATTTGCTCTCTCTGCCATCTCTAGACTTGTTTAGGATCAAGAAATGGAAATAAACATTATCCATAGATTCAAACCAAAGAATTATGTAACTGTAGAAATGATCCTGAAAGATAAGTGTAATGACTCTAGTTTAAATTGGAATGGAATGTGCATCATAAAAGCTATTGGGGATTTTAATTGTTTTTCCTTTGCAGAACAAGATTAAAGTTGTTGCATTGAAAATAACAAACAATATCAATGTTTTAATCAAGGTAGGTTTTCCTTTCTTACTCAGCCTTCCCAGTTAACTAGAAACAGGTTGTCCAAGTGTTTTTAGGTTTGTAATGGTACTGTTTAAGGGGAGATGCCATTGCATTCCTGATGTTTGGCATTTTAAAACTCTGTACTTTCTGCATTCCCCAGTGAGAGTTCTGTAGCTATTATAAAGTCATACATCATTTCATTTATTTAAAATTTATTGCAGAAAATACTGCTGAAACAAAGGGAGGCATACAAATTTTCTCTTTCCCAAAGCATTGGAACAGGTACCTTTAGACTCAGAAATTTCAGTTACTTAAATTCTGATAATCATCATATCATTTATTGGGTCCTTTTGAATGATCAGTAAAACCCTGCTTTGCTCACACTAAGAATGGATAGTTCTATGTAGCATGTGAACTGTTTTCCTGTGGTCTTTCCTGTTAACTTGTTTCTGTCATAAATTGAGAGCTTTCTGTACTGTAGGCTAGGATATACCTTACCATTAAACCATAATTACCCCTTCAGTTCTGTTTACCCTCCCTAAGTACCTGCTCACTTAAACAAAATACTAACAACCTGAGAGAATGAAAAATCACAAAGTAGCCATCATTTGTTACTATATAAATTAACAGTATTATAGCCAGATGGGAGAAAGAAATGATATTTGTAATACCTTCAGCAGAAAACCTGATATTAACAAAATTGGGACTAATGGCATACCTTAAAGCTAATCTCAAAATCCTGTTGAATAATTACTTTTTATTAGGAGAGAGAGGGAAACTTTTCAGAAGAAGCAACAGTGGGAGCTATCATATTGCCAAGTGGGAAAGTGAAGAAAGAACATTTAAATTTAGCAGATACTATGACCGAACGCTTGGAGATGAAAGCTGCCTATTAAGGAAATCATAAATGATTGAAAGATGGCTACAGCAGGAGGGTGTTGGGGAAGAGTGATGAATAGGGTCAGCAACCAGTGTGTAGGGGCCTTCCCAGAAAATCATGAAATATTTTTTCAGTGAAGTAGGAGTGTGTGACATGATTAGTTCTTTGCTTGTACCGAGATCACAGGAAAAACTGGTGTGCTTTAGTCCATCCTTGGCATTTTTCACCATCTTTAGTTTCAACTTGGGCAGACTCATCTAATTCCACAACTTACCTTCACATGTGTTTTAGTGAATCCCCATTGTCACTTGAGATTTAGCACGTTTAAAACTGCAGCCTTCCTCTTTCCTCTTCCTCTGTTCCCTATCTCAGTAATAGCATTATCGTATGCTAAATCACTCCAGCTAGAAACCTCACGAGCATTTTTGATTAAAGTACTTTACATTGGCTAATTCTCTGCATTTATCTGGTGTACTGAACTTAGTATATAGCAGGAGGTGATTGCTATCAGTACTTTCATTTTAACTGTGGATGAAACTCAGTTTACTTTGATCAGATTTTACTTTCACATAAAAATTAGGGAAAATCTAGTAAGAAACATTATTTAAATACTAAGTAAATATGTTTAAGAGTCCATTCATAATTTTGAGGATATTATGAGGTTATATTATTTCAAATCTGTATTATCTTAACATTTAAAATTAGTAAACATTTGCATTTTTACTACATGTTGATCTATGGTATTTAAATCTTGTGGATTTTTCCTTTATTGGCAGTGTATAAATATTTGAGGGGAAGAAAAAGAAAAAGATTAGCCAGGCCTTAAAAATCTGAGTGCAGAAGAAGATGGAGATTGCACCATTGCAGTTTACTTAAAGCACCTTAGTGACTGCACCCGTGCAGAGGAAAGTACTTATGTCAGCCTTGTTTATTAAAGTTGATAAATTTTGGTTATTTTATCCTGAAACTTGAAATGACATTTAGAAACAAACTTAACTGCAGACTCCTAAGCAATGCCATAAAATGCAGTTAATGAGGCAATATGTGTAATTTGTGACCCTGTTTACTTTTCTGCTGCAGTGTTATTTAGGTCCTTATTTTAGTCACCAGAACAACAGCAGGAAGGTTAAGCTAAAGTTTCCTCTTTAAGTTTGTGTCTCTGTTTCCTACCCTCACCACCACTCCCTCCTGCCACCGGATGCATTCTAAATCTTTCATCAATTTTGTCTCTTCAGGATCTTTTCCACATTCCTCCTTCTTATAAGAGCACAGTGACATTATCCTGGAAACCTGTACAGAAGGTTGAGTTGGGGTAAGAAATAGCTTTAAAAGAGACTTGAGTATTATAATTTTTATGATTTATAAACATGAAAAACTGAATTTGGGTATTACATTTACTGTACAAAATATACATTATCACTTAAATGATTTTTTATATAATATTAAAACATGACTTAAAATGTAAAATCTGACTCCAGTGTTTGTAAAATAAAACAGAGGAACTTTCAAGTTTGTTTGGACTCCTAAGGCGTAACTAGACTTTTCTGACAAGTTTAATATTATGGATCACTTCCATATAGTCTGTGCAACTGCATATTTCAGCTTATTTTAAAGCCTTGTAAGTGCCCTCTGATAATGTCTACATAACCAACCCACAGTTAATCTGATCACATCAGAGTGTTATTTCCTTTTTTCTGTTGTGACTGTCGTCTTTAGTGTGCCTTTACAAGCTGATATGCTAAATTATTAAACATATTGATAGCCTCTGGTATAATAGAATGCTTTTATATTGCTGTTCTTCCTACCATTACAGGCAAAAGAGAGCCAATGAAGATACAACTTCAGGTTCACCACCCAAGAAATCTACTGCAGGACCAAAGAGGGATGCCAGACAAATTTATAATCCTCCTAGTGGGAAATATAGCAGCAATTTGGGCACCTTTAATTATGGTGAGCGTTTCCGTTTGGGTGCAAGCAATATGTGAGATTAGGCAGAAATTGTGTTGTATTTGATTTTAATATTAAAATACATATTGTATCATAGCTCTTTCAGATGACTTTTCTGAGTTAGCTTGGGGAATTAGGGCTGTTGGGGAAACCATTTATCTTACTCCACTTTAACCCACCCTTGTGAGCTCACTGAATTGAGCATGCAACACTAAGAACTTAGAAAAATATACCTCTTGGATTCGGTGGACCCAATACAAAAAAGGAAGGAAGTTGCCGTGAGCCGCCCATCCCTTGTCTGCCTATTCTAGCTTCAAGGCAAGATATTCTTACATTTTGTTCATTTTCCCTCAGGGATAGATACGGCTTCTGGCAGATGTGTTATTAATGATCCTTCTTGGACCTTGTCTGGCCTATTGCTGTCCTCTCATCTTTAGTTAATTCAAAAAGAGAAGTCATAAAAGTGGAGTCAAATGTTAAAGCATCATCTGATAAGGAAGATGTATTCCACTGCAGTCTTTTCACCTCTGTCCAGAGTACAGTCTTCCTATCAATGCTTCCCACCCCCTTTTAACCATTAGAGCCTGGAGAGCTTTCCACTGGTTCATTCTCTCCCCAGGCAGTTCAGTCAGAAATGAAGTTTGTCTCTCATTGGCTTATTTTCTTATAGATCCTTTTAAAGAAGAATGGACAAAAATAATACTGACTCAGCTCCTTATCTTGCTTAGGAAGACACAGTTTAATAACGCTAGCAACCAAACACGCTTGTGGTTGGTCTTGAATACCAGTCAAAATTAATTCTGCAGTATTTATTCAAAAGAGTACATTCTGAACCAGAATATACTCTCAATAATTCTGTTTCCAAGGTGAGATAATAGTAATTCATATTCCTGTAGAGGTTAAGTCTCCAATAGGGGTGCTTGTCATAAACTGATTGAAAGCAATTTTAAGTTTAAACTAACTGATTCTTATTGAAAAGTAGGAGCAGGATTTTAGTTAAGTGTTTTATACTTGGGAATTTAATATGATCTTATTGAGTAACACTTTGGAGAGTTTTCTTGACTTTTTCTTTATCACCCATTCAATTGAAACAGCTCTCAGCACTGTAGATGAGAATTGGTGAAGTTAATGTACTTCAATTTTTTCCCACTTTTTTTATGTCCTTTCCTTAGGATCATGCTTCTCAAGTGGGTGCCCTTCAGGGAACTGACAGTAGGGAGAAAGGAGGAGCATGAAGCATTTTTTTTTTCCTGGTTTGTCAGTTCTGCTCCACAATTGGAAGGGAGAAATGTTTTTTTATTCTTAAGTCTTTAATACATAGATTTTGTTGCCCACATTTAGCAAAATCATCGTAATTCTACTTTTCTGTATCAACCAAACTCCTGTTGTGTTTAGTTCTCCTTACTATATAAGGAGTTCCCCAGTAACCCATAAACACCAAACATTCTATGTTTTGTGATTTGTGTCCTTCACCTTTTATCTTTTTAGAATATAGAAATAATTTTTAAAGTATAATTTTAACTAGAAGCAGCGGGTTTTTTAAAAATTAGTAGTACAAGCTTGAAACCATTGAAAAGATCGTGAAAATACAAACTAGTCCTTCAAGATGAAGCCCTTCAAAAAGAAGAAAATTTAGTCAATCCCCATACTGCAGAATGGCTGCATCATTTGGCAATTAAAAATAACCAATGTAAAAAAGATGATCATATTTAATAATATAGTGTATTTTATATACTCATTAGATGTAGCTCAACAATTGAGGTTAACTCAGTTCTGGACATTAGAATTTGTTTGAAAGGGTAGATTTTAGTAGTCTGTTACTATATGCCTAATAATGATATTTGTGAAGACGCTGATTTGTTAAGTGTGTTGATCTTAGATTAACAGAAAGATGGAAAATGAAGATTTTATCACGAATATGGTACCAACTGGAAAAAAATGTGCTGTCATATGTAGATATAGGGCCAAGTCTAGAGAGTCAGAAATGCAGAGTCATGGCCCACATAAAGCCTGAGTGTCCCCACAGTCACTGCATCCATCACTGAAAGCATCTTGCCCTCAGAGACCACCTCTGATTCCTAAATATGTTCACTAGAATAATACTGATTTCATTTTAAAATGGTTTTTATAATGGTCAACTTAGCAATGTCATGACACAAGAGGTAACCTTGAATCAGAGGTCTAGTTACTTTTCTAACTCAGGGTTGAATTACTTTTCCTTCTGGAGGAAAAAAGACATCAAAACATCACCCAAGTGACTATACTTCTAGCTATTATGACAAAGAACGGGTTGCAAAGTTGACTTAATAGATATTTTTTCAAGCCTCCAACATTCTTGGATCAAAAACAGCAACACCAAGCTCTTTTTATTGCTCCTGACAAGATTGCTGCAAGGAGAAAGTTTGAAAGTTCAATGAAGAGGTTTGATCCCTGGAATTAAGAGTTTGAGACTCCTAATTCATTTAAGTATGATGAAAAGTACAGCCTTGGTGAAAACTTCAGTCGGTTTTCTTCACTGGAAAGACTCCTTTGAGGAATATTTCTCTGGGGCTATAAGAGGGACTGACCAATGCATCAAAGACTTCCATTTTACCATATGACACAAGTGACCTGATATTTTAGCAAAAGAGATGCTTAATTTCCAGTAGTAAGCCAGACACTATATGTATACACGACAGATCTGGCAGCACTCTGTGCAGCTCACGGAAGTATCTATTGGAATTTGTGTGTACATTAATGTGAGTCCAGTTCTTGAAATATTGTGACTGAAACAAAAAAAAATTGTCTACTCATTTCATTCGAAAGGTACATTTGATCATTAATAGTCTAAGATAGTTTGTATATGTGGCACTAACTTTTAAAAGCCAGTGGCTTTTCTGTTAATTCCATATTAAGCATAGCAATTTTTATAGTTTCATTTGGTAGTGGTAGGCACCGGAATACAAACTAAGAAGTGTTAAAGTTTTCATAACATTGTCACCTTAAGACAACTTCACTAATGGCATATTTAATTGAGCACCTTCCATGAATGTATTTGGCACCTTGCCATATTTGCTTTGGTATATACATTGCCCTGGTTTTATGTACAAAACAAATTTGTAGACAGACTAGCAGAATACCAGTTCTCCTCTTCCAGGGCCTACTGCTACATTCAGAGCTACAAACTACATTTCTTCTGTGTTTGCTGTACCGTGAAGTCCCGAGCAAGACCTAAACCCTTGTTCGCTTTTTCTTAGAGCAGAGAGGAGCCTTCAGGGGAAGTAGAGGTGGCCGAGGTTGGGGAGCACGAGGAAATCGTAGTCGGGGAAGACTCTACTGATTAAGACATCACATTCTTCAGCACTGTCATGAGCTTAATATACTTAAATTCTACTACTCGTTGGATTGCCGGGGATGTCCCTTTAAAAAAGACTGCTGCCTTCAGCTAAAAATTTAATGTTCTTTATACCTTTGTATGTATAATCTACTTTTGTAACAGACCATGGTTATGTCCAAGGTAAAACCACAGTGATATTTTTGGATGCTTTGTCAGCAATCTTGACTTGTTTTCGCAATATCATCATTATTCAGACTTCATATCGTACATCTTTTACTTTTAACATCTTGATAATTTGTTGAGAGCAAAATGTTATAAAATTTGGTCTATTTCTGATAACTGGTAAAGATCATCACTTTTGAAAGGTTACTGATTTCCCTCTCCCCTCTGCCTTATTTTGTCACCCAATATATGGAGAAGAGTAATGGTCAATCTCAACATTTTATTTTTGTTGTTTTTTAATAAAGTTGCTAGGCAATGGTGCAGCATTCTTACCTAGAGTAGTAAGAGCAAAATACTTTTCAGCTTTCTTAAAATGTAGAAATGGCATTACATTTTTAGGAGGAAGTAAGTTACTTTGCACTGCTTACATAACTTTTCTCCATATATTGTGATGTAAACTTTTGAATATGGAATCTTACTATTGAGAATAGAAATGTGTATGTATAATATACATACATTCATAGCATACATATGTAAGTATACATATGCATGCTGTGAAACTTGACTATACAACATAAATCATTATTTTAAATTCCAGGAACGGGTAGTCTTTGACACAGTGATTTATCCTTTTGAGGCTGAATCCATTATTGACTGGTCATCTAGATGTTTTTCACCCTGTAGTGAGGAATTTTAAGTCAGTTGCACCTACATGATTATTGTTATTTAAAAATAAACAAAAGCTGGGTTTTCAAAGATAAGTTTGGAGATCCCTATTGTTGAACTATAGCCAAAATATCAAATCTGATGTACATATAGGTTTCTTCAGGAGGAGATAGTGTAATTTAGAAAATGTGGGGATTTAATAACCAGGCTACCCAGAAAAAGTGATTTGATAACATGGTGTAGTGATAAGAAAGGGATGCTGTCTCAGTTTGTTTTTGCCACTTTTAAGATTTTTAACTTCTCAGGTTATTAATCAAAATTAATCTAAAAGTTAGCCTAATAGAATATTTAGGTTAAAACAATAGACGGGGGGTTTGTGGAGTGTTTAATGTCATGGGCATTTTTAGTAGCATAGGCTCTTGCTCTGCATTTGAATGTTTCATATATTTTCATTCCACAGTTAATCTTCCCTCCCCAAGTTTGCTATTCAAATCAAAACAAATCCTGAATGACATTTTCTAGTAGTTGGATGTATTTTTTTGAAGAACAGTCTGTGATTCCAATGCAGGTATTTTCATTACAGTTTATTAACGTGCTCTTAGTTACTTCTACATTAGGGAAAAAGCAAAACCCCTTTGCTAGAATTAACTGCACGTTTATGGGAAAATATTTTTTAAAGGCTAGAATGATACAGTGAGCAAAGGAAGTTGGTCAGCTTGACTATGGAGTGGTGGCAATAATCTCTAAACATTCCAAAAGACTATGAGCTGAACCTAAGCTTTCTTGGAATCTGAACAGACACAGGAACATTCAGTCGCCATTTTTGTGACCAGCTAGTCTAGGCCTCAGAGGTAGATCAGCCAGTGGCCTAAAGCCATTTCAGATATAGAAACTGTATTGGAAGTATAGTTGTAAACATTTGAACAGTAAGTGTAACTTTTCTGTCTCCCCCACCCCCCGTAAGTATATTTGTAAACTCAAAGCTGAGCGGAAGTGACTTTGCTTTAAGTTTAATATTGAGTGTGACTGTGTTCCTTCCCTCACTGTTCCCCCTCCCTAAAGTAGTAGTGCACAACCTAGGTTATTTTTGCTTGAAAAATTTGAATGAGAAACTTCATGCCATGGATTTTTTTTTTCTTTTGCAAGATACCTGTTAATTACCTGTTCAAATGTAAATGTTCCTTTATGCTTTTGAAATAAATTTCCTTTTGTAGTTTTGTTTTGTGTCTCGATGGGTTATGATTATGATAGCTTTACTTTCTCAGATATTCATTAAACATTTGCTGATTGCCTCTCTTGCCAAGCGGTGTTAGACCATGAAAATAACAAAGATGGACAAAACAGTGTTCTGCTTTCAAGGAGTTCAGTCTTGATACAATCTTATAAATCTTTCATTTTCATCCTTTATGGTTCTGATTTGGATTTATTTTTAGAAGTTAATACACTTCTGAAAGATTTGGTTCTTATTATCAAAATGAAACATCAGATACTTGTTAAGTCACTATGAAATAAATCATTTCCATCCTCAAATTAATATGTAAAGGCAAGTTGGAACTTCTTAATTTGACTATCAGTCTTCATTAGAAAGTCTTCCTGAAGTAACACCAAGGATGGTTCGGAGAGTTTGAAAATCAAGGTTTGAGTGGATCAGGACAAGACAACACAATTCCTTTGGTGATCACATCCAGTTCTATGGCTTTAAATACCTTCTATATGCTGATGACTGCCAAATTTATATCTGTATCATTTCTTGCCTGGATTATCATAATAGCCTCCTAATTGATCTCCCTGACATTACACTTACCTCTACAGTCTGTTCTAAACACAGCAGCATAGAGACATCCACCTAAAACAAGTCAGATCATAATCATACAACAGTTTGCTCAAAGCTGTTCATTAGCTCCCCATTTCAGAATAAAAACCAAAATCCTTGCCATAGCTTTTAATCTCTGACCTCAGCTGCCACTCGTCCCCTCAGTGACTGCCCCAGCCCACTGGCCTCATGGCAGGCCAAAGACACACTACTTAAACTGCCTTAGAATCTTTGCATTAGTTGTTCCCTCTGCCACCTTCTTTCTTATAAACACATGCCTAAATCAGCTCCTTCAAGTCTTCTCAAGGAATCCTATTTAATATTGCAATGCCCTTTTTTACCCCACAACTCCAAATCCCACTTACCTTGTATTTTTTTTCCCCATAGCATTTACCAACTTGACATACCATGTTATATATTGTTTACTCTGTCTTCACCTGCTAGAATGTGGGAGGAATGTAAAATACCCCAAGAGTAAGCGGGTTTATATTTTGTTCACTGATAATGCCAAGCATCTAGAACGGTGCTTGCTGCATAGCAGGCTTTCATTAAATATTCAATGAATAAGTTGAAGGCAGTGTTTTAGACTCTGGAGATATAGCAGTGAGCAAGACAGACGTACTCTCATGGAGTTTACACTATTATGCAGGCCTAACAAGCACTGATTTCAGATAGTAAGTGCTATGAAGACAATGAAGCATGCTAATGTGATTGTGTGAAAGCCTAGCGTAGCCTCTCAGAAAAAGCCTGAGGAATTAATCTGAACTAAGACCTGAGAGCCTAGTGTAGGGTTTGAACAGCATTCAAGATAGAGGCAACTAAACCTGCAGGACACTGGACATAAGAATGTGTAAGGCTGTGCTAGAGAATGGGTTTATCCCAAAGCTCTTAGATTCCTAATCTCCACCCCAAGACTTCTAAATACTTCATCTACTATGATAATGAAATACTTTCAGTAGCCCAGAGGGTACCATACTCTTTCTAATATTGGGGCATTTTTCCTCTGGAATATTATTGCTCCCTGACTCCCCCATTCACTTGGTTAACTGACTCATCCTTCAGGTCACAGACTAGATGTCACTGTCCCTGGGAAGACTTTCCTTTCTCTCAAGGCATTTACTAGACCCAACTGTGTGCTCCCTCAGCTATCCTTCCCGCATTTTAGAAAATGATAGAACTCATATCTGATCTGAGTAGTAGAAAAGATTTCATTCTAGCAAGTCTGATGGAAAGTAATAAATTTAGACTAATATAAAACCTAATTTATCAATAAAACCTAGGAAGTTGTAGATTTATTCCTAGAAGTTATTTCCTAAAACTAACACAAACACACTAGAAACAAGATCTTAAGAGCCTAGACAGAATGCTACAGTTAGCAATTTGTATTCCTCAAATAACAAGAAACAGAGAAAAACAAAAGATGAGGGAATGATACTCCTCTGAGAAAAAACAAAAATGGCTAGTGTTATGGACTGAATTGTGTCCCTTAAAAAATGTATCAACTTGGCTAGGCCATGATTCCCAGTATTGTGTGGTTGTCCTCCATTTTGTGAAGTGTAAATCCTAGCCTCTATGCCTGTGGTTATGCTCCCATGTGGGAGTGAGCTGTCCGTTATATTGAGGCAGGATTTGGTCATGTTAATGAGGATTAGGGTGGGATGTAACACCCTTACTCAGGTCACAGCCCTGATCAGATATAAGGCTTGTTTCCCTAGGGTGTGGCCTGCGTCATCTTTTATCTTACAAGAGATAAAAGGAGAGAGAAGCAAGCAGAGAGAGAGGGACCTGACTACCACCAAAAAAGAATAGCCTGGAGCAGAACACATCCTTTGGACCTGGGAGTCCCTGCGCTGAGAACCTCCTAGACCCAGGGGAAGAGTGATGCCAAGACACATGTACATCTCCAAGGAACACTAGTCCCACAGATGTTTAAAGGAGACAAGGGCCTTCCCCCAGAACTAACAGAGAAGGAAAGCCTTCCCCTAGAGCTGGTGCCCTGGATTTGGTCTTCTAGCCTCCTAAATTGAGAGAATAAATTTGTTTGTTAAAGTCATGAACTTCTGGTATTGCTGTTACAGCAACACTAAGAAACTAAGATAGCTAGCATTCTATAAAGTGACGGATAAGATCAAAGAACACAAACTCATGAAAGATTTGAATAGAATGAACTTGGGTTTAATCATAAAATCAGGATATTGAAACTTTGGGATTGTATGAGGGTGAGTAAATCAAAGCTAGGTTAATGGCCTTTAGCTACTTACGGGATGTAACAG